CCCTCTTTAATTCATTTTCCCACTGGCCCATTGACCTCGGTATCCCCTCGATCTGCAATGGTCAACTTGATCGTATTTGCTATCCTCCTCGTAGGACTTGCTGATCTCCCTGTGCACTGCACCATTGAAGATGTTCAAGGTTAGCAATGAGCCTAACCACTCACGTATTGCTAGTGTTTCCTAGGCTGGTGGCAGCTGTATCTACTGGAAGGCCCTGTACCAAGCTGGAATAGTAAGGGAGAGCAGGACAGCTTCTGTGGGTATACTCCCATCAATAGCAACGAGGCCAACATAGCCCGTGGCAATCAGGTACTCACTCCATCATTCACTGTTGGCATGCTGCTGCTATGGTAGATACAACAGCTTATGGACGCAGCAGCGCTGAGTGGCCCCGATGGACTAACGTCACACAGTATAGAGAGGATACTGAGTACCCTTACTGCCTACCTCTCGCACATAAAGCAATCACCAAGCCTTAGATATGACTCTGTCATCGAGCCCTGTCGTCGACCTGAATCTCTCAATGGACCAAGATGTCAGTGGTGATGGTGTGCTTCGGGACCATCATCTGAAGGTAGGCCTTCCCCAAACTGTCTGAATAGGACTCGTATCAGGTATTGGATATTAGCGGTGCATACAGAGGCAGCTGGTCTGTCGGCTACGATGAAGGTCTCGTGCTGAAGAACCTAGTCCTGAGTAAGCTCGACGTTCCTACTTTTAGCTCATTTTTCGGTTTTAGACAACAGCGCGGTGCCGCGGCACTTGGTGGCCTTCTTCCGCTATCGCTGCCTCTCTGGGAGTAGCCATTGTGGGGACTATGCAGACTTTGAAGATGAGTAAGGAGGCTGGGCTGTTGTGGGCGATTGTGATCGCATCACGCAGGTTCGGCGCCACTCAGGGCTATGAGTCGCTATGTGGTCAGACTCTGATAGGATGGTGGAGCTCGCGTAGCGGAGCGAAGCAAGGATGCTTTTGGATGAGAAAGAAGAGTGATGAGGAGGCGAATGAGGTGAGCTACTCTTCGAGGGTATCAAGTTGTCTTAAATAGGCCCGATAGGTCCATAGTGTGGCAGTCCTACCAGGATCTATGACACCGTCTGCATTCGTAACCCTGAGGGGGAGGAGGCGGAAGGCTAGCATTACCCGGTGAGGCCTTACGAGCTCACAGGCGCATGTTAGCTACTCTTTGATCTCAACAACAGTTGTGTCGGTCTGGCCTTGGACGCATTTCTCTTCAGGGCTCGTGCGATTGCTCTGATGACGAGGAGTGGTAGTAGCGGTCCATTAGATGATGTAAGCTGGGGCGGCCAACTCCTCTCCAGTGCGCGCTCTCAGATCGATGTAGATGAGGACACTGAGGGGGAGTATGCTAGGTTCAAGGGCAGGTAAGCAGGGAGTAATAGTGAACAGTGCCTTAGTGTGGCTCCGATCAGGTACCATGTCTTAGCTGATGGGGCGTATACAGAAGACAGCTACGCCGAGGAGGTCAGAGCGCTCGTCCTTGCAGTGGCCAAGCTAGGCTACTCAGGCACCCATCAAATACCCTCCACAGCCTATAGACGAGGCCTGTGTGAATACTAATAGCATTGAGGATGCCGACCTCGTGGCGTCCCTGCCAACAGCGTATGATTTCCGTGATGAAGTTCCACATTTTGGAAGTACTACGATGATCGTTGACCTCTTGACTAGGGTTTGCTCTCAGACCTAGAGTCTCAGCAGATGCTATGTGGCAGCTGCTATGCAATAGGTGCGGTGTCGGCCCTTCAAGCTGGCTTTGCGCGGCAGTTCCAACTTCTTGGAATGGACCTGCCCGCCGACTGGGAACTGTCCGTCCAGGGAGTGAGCGGGAAGAGTCACCATCTTGTGGTGCCACTCAGTAGCTCTCCTTAGGCCTTGTCGTGTGGCTATTCTTCTCAAGGATGCAACGGTGGATTCCCTGGTGAGAGTGTTGGAGAGAGGTATGTGAGGCGGTAGCATTATGGCAGGTATCATGGCATTCGACCTGACCGTCCAGGGTGTACCTCGAGCTTCCTGCATGCCGTAAGATGGGGCCTCACTGTGTGTGTTGATCGAACTCGATATTATCGTGACGCATAGCATTGACCCCTCCCTGGCCCGGTTGACGGTGAGTAGCCAATGTTGTGGCAGGTATCAGGGGACTCCCGAAGCTTGTGACCGATCATGCTATAGAGATTCCACCAAATTGTGGTATGCCAAGGATTTTGGATACGTTGGTAAGTTCAGCTCAGCAGCTCCTGACTTGAGAGTGGCCCTTCCTTAGGGGGCTTCTACGGTCGTTGTAGTGAGGCCCAGATGAGGCAGCATATAATGCAGTAGGATGGGGCCTGGTAGTGGTGGCTTCAGGGTTGTACTGTAGGCAAGGACCAGTATCGGTGGCCGTGAATGTACAGAGCGACCTGCTCCCCAGACCACCTCACAATATCACAGGCTTGGATGCTGGGATACCTTATGGGACGGAGCACAGCGTGATTGGAGAAAATTCAGTGAGCAAGCTGGTTAGGTTTCTGCAGGCATTGGTTTTTGTGGGAATGTAAAGGTGAAGGCCACACGCCTATTGCCCTCTCCTGGG